CTGCTAGACTACTGTATTGCAAACTCCTCTATTTTGATATGCTAGAGTATTGTATTGCATAATCTTTGCCTCATTTTACAAGATACACTACTGTATTTTATTTATGACCTTAGCATTTGTAAATATTGGATACATTTATAATGATCTAAACAAATTCATTGATGCAAGTTATAATGCGTATCTGACAATTTCGAAGCCTGAAAGGATTCCTGCTAAGAGGACAAAACCCAAATTCATGCAGACATATCAAATAAAATTGACACCACGTTGATGAAACGGCATTGAAAATGTCTGAAAATGGCGGAACTTTCCCCCAAAATGACGGGCATATTGCTTTATTGTCGGGCGTTTGAGTGAAGTTTGTGTGTACAGAGGATAGATGTTGTTGTCGCACACACCTCACACACACCAGTGAAGGGAGAGAGAGACGGCTCTCGCCCTCAAACTCTCTAACCTTATTTTCGTTTGATAAAAACGTCAGGCCGCGACTTTCCCCGCGAACAGCCGTCTCGAATTCATTTCTCCGGAGCAGATGTAATATCATATCTAGGTTCATCTGCATTTCTGCAGCTGCACCTTGGCTATGTGGTGCGGTACGTCCTGTGTTAGGAGCTCGTTATGTGAGGCTACGATATCGTTATCTCGTGGGATGATGTGTCATGCAGGGCCATGTGATCAGGCCTGCATGATAAAGATGACCTCCGCTGGCAACTTCGGGTGCAGTATATGAGGCTATCCTCTAGAACACGGGAGTGAATAAAGTAATGACAAAGCTCCAGGTACCTCATACCAGCAGGTCTTAAAGGTTATACGACTGGACACTATAGTGTGAGATCATGGCCATATGATCAGGCCTGTATGATAAAGATGGCCTCCGCTGGCAACTTCGGGTACAGTATGAGGCTATCCTCTAGAACACGGGAGTGAATAAAGTAATGACAAAGTTCCAGGTACCTCATTCCAGCAGCTCTGAAGGGTCATACCACTGGACACTGTAGTGTGTGAGATCATGACCGAGTTTTTGCTCACAGAGCAAGAACTCGGTCCCTTGTAACCACCTGCCCCAGGTAACGGTAGCCCAAGATTTAATCAATAAATACTTTTTCGGGCTCACCATAGCCCGTGCTACTTGGAACTTTTTGTTCCAGGTAGCGAATCTTAAACAACAATAACAAATAGAGTAGAGGAATGTTTATCACAGACTAACCAGAAATAATGATATTACGAATAAAACGAACCTTAATTAATCGAATAATCGCCTCATTTTTACCGTACATTTACAGCTAACACACAGCAGTTCCCAGATAATAAATCTTTAATCACGAGACGTTAATTATCAATGGTAGAGAAAACACCATTAATATTATATTAGGGTTTTCAGAGCACAACAGAAGCTGGGAGGAGGGGGGGGGGGGAGTGGACAAGTAACCTACCAGTCTGTCCTGTAACTCCATATTGTTGTTGTTGGTTAAGATTCGCTACCTGGAACAAAAAGTTCCAAGTAGCACGGGCTAGGGTGAGCCCGTAATAACGGGAAAGTGAAGGACTATTGGCCCTTACAGTTTCCAAACCTACTCTTGAAATAATGTTTCGTCTATTATATCAACCCGTCCTCTTCAATAGAGGGGGGGGGGGGGGGTCGCATTTTGACGTATACTCTACTTAAGGCCAAAAATCGTCGTACTAGAAAATGGAAGCGGCTCGCGAAAATGACGTACCGTTTTCCGTTTTGGGTCCTCTGGTAGCTTAGGATAAGGGCACGTTAGTACAACAGTTTCCTGACGTTGGGAAATCCTAGGAGAACGGGCTGATTATATTACCCGGTAATCTGTTCTGTAAATATATATAACCCATTTTCAAAACTAGTACTAACCATTTAAAGGTCTTCTCTGAATCTAAACTTTCCTTATTCGTATCCATTATTTAGTGTTATACTTAGCAGTCAATTAATATTTCCCGCGTAATATCCTTTAATCTATTTCTATACGTCAGTGATGCCGCCCACTACGCTTGGAAAGACCTTGCGATGTGTTAACTGGCTGGACGGTTTAATACTAAGTGAAAATAAGTACAATTCCTGACTGTTATACATAGTACATAATTGCACTTATGGGGCTGTTACATTTACCTCCCCATTTTTGGAGGACGGGCTGCTGTATTAACGAGTGAAAGTTAAGAACGTGCGGAGCACCGCTCCTGTGCCAGGTAAGTCCACTACGGGCTCACCATAGCCCGTGCTACTTGGAACTTGTTCCCAGTAGCTGAATCTCTAACAACAACTTAGAACGTGCGTATAACATTATTACGAGGCCAACTGGAGACACTGCTAGATTTACAAACCATAACAATTGGACATATAACAGACATATCAAATGTGTGTGACATATTAAGTCATTTATTATTTTTTAATATTAACAGATGCCTTCGACCTGCGAAATGGAATGATATGAAAATCAGGGTTTGTGTTACAACGAGTATTTTCAACCACCTGAACAACTAGTCTATGGTAAAGTTTAACAGTGTCTCAAATCTATATAAAAAAAGGAGAATAATTGGGGGCATGAAGAAGCTAAGCTGTGCATGGGAGGAGATATTAAGAACACATTATTACTTGAAGTCTGGTTTAGAAAGCATTCCTTCACTCGAAGCGGAAATACTCAGTATAATAGTCTTTTTTATCATAAGGGAAACGCTCATCTCTTCAAAAGAAATCATTTTTTTGTTATTTACTCATCACAAGTCATTCTGCCTTTGCTAGCAATGAACAAATGTTTTGTTCTAGCAATATTCACAGGTGTCTTGAGAACAACGCACAAATTTATGCGTATCAATAAATAGAAGCAAAGAATTACACAGAATAATCAGAGAGTATTCAGTAAACTTAACACCGTCAGTAAACGTGGTATTACAAAGGAATTACTATCATATAAGTTACTCACTGCTCTATAATTTAGATCTGGTGAAAGCTCATTTAGCATTCTGTGTTAAGATGTGTTTCATTCAGATTAACCCTTATAACAGTGTTTACGTCGCTTGTAGCTTCAGCTATTATGTAAATAAACGAAAAAACAATTATATATTATAATATATTTGTTTATATATTTATAAACTAATAAGTGCCTAGCTTATCTAGTGAATTATATTTGTGATATCTAGTGATGCCTAGTTACAGGATGGGGTCAAGGTTTGTCTTGGTCAAATATTTGTGAAATGATAAGTCACACTTTCATCAATGTAGAATCAGTGTAAGAGAGAGAGACGTAAATATGTATGTGTATTATGTATGTGTATGTGTACATGTGCAAGCTGGTTAGAATTGCATTTCACCTTTGTAAACGCACATTAATCACATTCTGTGGTTGAGTATTTAGTAACCAGCTGTCCAGCATATACATATATATATATATATATATATATATATATATATATATATATATATATATATATATATATATATATATATATATATATATATATATATATATATATATATATATATATATATATATATATATATTATATTATTAAATATGACCGAAAAAGTAAGATTAATAATTCTAACACGAATTTTCTCAATCTTTCGTACATTTCTTTTCACTGTTGGAGGTAATTCAAAAATCAATTCTCCAAAATTCATTTTTATTTCTAGTCTGACGCGACACGAGCGCGTTTCGTAAAACTTATTACATTTTCAAAGACTTTAGTTTACAAATACACAACTGAATAGAACTTACACATCTCCGATTTTGTTTATATCTACATTTGAGTGAGGTGGATGAGGTGGCATTAATAGGGTATTAATTTCATCAACATGTTGATGAAATTAATACCCTATTAATGCCACCTCATCCACCTCACTCAAATGTAGATATAAACAAAATCGGAGATGTGTAAGTTCTATTCAGTTGTGTATTTGTAAACTAAAGTCTTTGAAAATGTAATAAGTTTTACGTAACGCGCTCGTGTCGCGTCAGACTAGAAATAAAAATGAATTTTGGAGAATTGATTTTTGAATTACCTCCAACAGTGAAAAGAAATGTACGAAAGATTGAGAAAATTCGTGTTAGAATTATTAATCTTACTTTTTCGGTCATATTTAATAATATATGTCTACAGGAAAGACTGCTACCAAAATATACTAATATATATATATATATATATATATATATATATATATATATATATATATATATATATATATATATATATATATATATATATATAGATATATATATATATATATATATATATATATATATATATATATATATATATATATATATATATATATATATGCTGGTTAGCATGTATACCACATCTACCACATTTGTGGTAGAAAATCAGCTAAAACAAAAAGTATTGAGAATAAAAGCAATAGGCTAAGTAAAGTTGGTTCTAGGGCCTTCAACGCTAAAAATAAAATCAATATCCATTTTTTGTCAATAATCAAAAGTATAACTTCCAGTTCCATGTTTTTCCCGGTGCAATAAGTCCCCGTAACAGCCAATTGCTGATAATAGTGATACCTGGTTGATACCTGGTTGATACCTGGTTGATGGGGTTCTGGGAGTTCTTCTACTCCCCAAGCCCGGCCCGAGGCCAGGCTTGACTTGTGAGAGTTTGGTCCACCAGGCTGTTGCTTGGAGAGGCCAGGCTTGACTTGTGAGAGTTTGGTCCACCAGGCTGTTGCTTGGAGCGGCCAGGCTTGACTTGTGAGAGTTTGGTCCACCAGGCTGTTGCTTAGGTTAGGCTTGACTTGCTGACTATTTTAACAAGATTATTCTCCACAATCAAACTTTCTCTCCGACTATACACGTAAATAAATAACTTTGCACTAAACATTATTCCCAGATGGAAGTCAAGAGAAACTTCAGTTTTAGGACTATATTTGGAGCATCGGTCAATCTTCTACTCCTCACTCACTCATAAATAAAAAAGACATCCTGGATATAATAATCAAGTTACAAAACAGGTGAAGCAGGTGGAGGAGAAGAACTCACCTATACAAGATGCCACCAGCCCCACCACCACTACTTGAAGGTGCTGCATTGCGGCCTAGGAATGCCTTCTTCCTGGCCGTACAGAAGCAGTTGCGCAGGTGCAAGCCACGGTGGGTTCGACACCCCCCCACCTTCGTTTAAGCGTGCCCGCAACTTTTGCCGCAAAAGTGTACCGGCAGGTTTTTGTCAAAGAGCCCTTGGAGCCTCTTGGAGAACCGGATGATTGCTAGACGCCTCACAACCTGCGATATAAGAAAACCATGTCAGTGGGCCGTTTTCTATAATGCCAAAAAAACGGCAAAATATGGGTATAGTAGAATTTGTGACTAGTTTAGTAGCCTATGACGACTCATGGGGGTCATGCTACTAATTATTCCTTACACTGGTATGTCCACGTGACGGTGGTCATTTTTGGCATATATAAACACCAACTGTGAATACTTTTTGCTGAAACTTCAGAAATATTAAAAGAATTTGGAAAAAATATAATTGCGGGATGGCCAAGAGCCATGACATGCAGAAATATAAATAGCAGGATATGAATTATCTAACAGGTCAGACCACACACTAGAAGGTGAAGGGACGACGACGTTTCAGTCCCTCCTGGACCATTCTCAAGTCGATTGTCTTGAGAAATCGACTTGAGAATGGTCCAGGACGGACGGAAACGTCGTCGTCCCTTCACCCTTCTAGTGTGTGGTCTGGTCAACATTCTTCAGCCACGTTATTGTGACTCATCGCCTGCATCTATCAGGTCTATCACACTCATGATAATGGTCTATCAGAATCAGGAAAAAAGAGACCTATTCATAGACAATATTGTCAGCGTTCCTAAATCAAATTAATTCCATATTCATGATAAACTAATGCCATTATATAGTCTGATTCAGTGTTGTGATAACCTTAACATCACCTTGAGGATTAAAGCCTACTACAATTAGCTTTATGATCCTACAAGCATATTGCAGCCTAAACAATATCAAATTAACTATTACTAAGTACAGATACAAACAATTGCGATTCAGTACAATCGTTTGACGCCACACTAAGGCCTGCTAACTGGTGTGTGATTCTCTAGTATAAAGATCTAACAGCCAAGGGAGGATTAGTTAGGCTACAACGGCACCCTTCAGCCTATACAAAGGGGGCACCTTTCAGCCCCTTTCGACACCTTTCTACCTATACAAAGGGAGCATTACTACTACAATTATTTCACTACACAAATTTGAATCGGCAAGTTTGTGGTCACATTCAAATTACACTGCTGTTTCTAAAAAAAAAATAATCAAATTACATATAAGTGCGAACTAGCTTGAATGGTCCCCAAGCCAATATGCAACTGAAAGTCAAGTTGGGTGTGAAGTTTTCAGTTTCAGATAACATATATAATGAAATAAAAAACTGAAACCCTGACAATTTCTGTGTTAAGAGTGAGATAGGGAATTTATATGTCTAGACATTTTCATGATAATTAATATAGTGCCTAGAAAGCTACAGGTACTTCTACTACCACTACTACTTCTACTACCACTACCTACCTCTAACTAGTACTTGTGGAACACTTGTGGAACATAACGCCCAGCAACCAATGGAAGGTCATTGGTACAACACTACCAATTGACTATTTATAGTTGGTAGTAGACTATAATTGCTAATAGGCTACTATTACTAGTAGGCAATTATAACTATTAGTGTTATTATTAGTAATAGGCTACTATTGCTAATATGGTATTATTATTAGTAACATTACTACTATTGCTGACGGCCACCTTAAATATTATTGCCAATTCCGATAGGTACTAAAATACTACTACTAAAATATTAGTACTAAAATACTACTAGTAACACTGCTGTTGCTACTTCCTCACCCTACTTACTAATTCACTGTCACATATATGGGTGTCTACTTTCCAAGCCCATAAAAACTGGCATGGGAAGAGGGGGTCACAATGGACTCTGGAGACGAAAGGTGTGATTTCTAAACTCGTTAGTACTATAATTTCCTTTTTGTGTGTGTGTGTGTTTTTTTCCTTGGTGATTTAACGATAAACAGATGTGTAGCAGCCGACAGCAGAACACAGGAGGTAATGTCCAGGATCTCTGTCGCGCCGGTGAAAGTTGTCTCAATGGGTCTTAAATTCTGAGAAATATTTATATTCACACATACACTGTTCTGGAGACTGAAACATCTTGGAGGAGTGACAAGGAGGCTTCTAACATGCATGAACATTTTTATAACTGACAAAAAAAAAATGAGGGCAGTAATCCGAGGCAATGTATCAGCCTGGAGAAATGTCCGGAGTGGAGTACCGCAGGATTTAGTTCTTGCACCGGTAATGTTCATTGTCCACATAATCGATCTACCAGATGGAATACAGAATTACGTGAACATGTTTGCTGATGATGCTAAGAGAATAGGGAGCATAAGAAATTTAGATGATTGTCTTGCCCTTCGAGAAAACCTGGGCAATATATATAATTAGCCGAAAACGCGTTAAGCATTCTCTATTTTTCACATGTGGTTATTCTGCATACTTGGATCAGTGTTTTTGTGATCATTGTTGCATATATATATATATATATATATATATATATATATATATATATATATATATATATATATATATATATATATATATATATATATATATATATATATATATATATATATATATATATATATATAAACGAATACGTCGTTTCGCTGTAGTTTAGCTTGTTATCTAATCATCCAATTATTTTACAGATTTTGTTTCATATTTTTGTTTACAATGACTTAATGAGTTGGCCGACAAAGCACAGGAAGCCGTATATTTTGACGCCGAGGGGTTGATGATGATGCGTTAGTTGTGGCACCGCCCGCTAGGCGTCACTGGCGACTCTTTCATCTCATCTTACACTCTCGGCTTTCCTTACGTTAATATTCCTGCCTCTTCTCGCCCTGCCACGAGCGTATGGGAGCTAGTACGGTCAAAGCATATAGGGGGTGTATGGTGAAGGCGTGTAGGTACATAATTACCTGTGTAGAGAACATTTTCTTTTAATATTGTAGAAATGAATTCGAACCTACGGCTGGTTTCCTAATCCCAAGCGTAGAAATATGGTGTACTACAGTGAGAACTTTTTTGTATTACTCCGTAATGCTACAACAGCCAGCATCTTCCATTACCACATACCAGGGAGCCGGTCGGCCGAGCGGACAGCACGCTGGACTTGTGATCCTGTGGTCCCGGGGTCGATCCCGGGCGCCGGCGAGAAACAATGGGCAGAGTTTCTTTCACCCTATGCCCCTGTTACCTAGCAGTAAAATAGGTACCTGGGTGTTAGTCAGCTGTCACGGGCTGCTTCCTGGGGGTGGAGGCCTGGTCGAGGACCGGGCCGCGGTCATCTTGCGGGCCGAAATCATCTCAAGATAACCATCTCACAAGATGGACTAAAGCTTTCAAGATACAATGCAATACATAAAGTTGTCACTCAGATTCACAAGCCATGAATGACCTTGTGGTCGTGCAAGCAAATTTCTCCGAAATTTCACTTATTCTAATGACATGTAAATCTCATGTCAAACTGTGGTTGATATCCTACACAATAATATATATGGCCAAATAGTGATAATTAGAGACGTCATACGGTCAAACGATAGACATAAAAACCCGGATTTTAATTTCAAGGTGCATTTCCGTCGCCATATTGGCTACACTACCGTGCCGAAGGGCTTAACGAGCCAGCAAACTGCTTTCTCACGTTCCCAGGCAGGGATGTATTGTCGTGCGTGAGATCTTTATAATCTCTAACAAATTAAGCCAGTAAAAACAACCTAGTTGCTTGAAACACATTACAAATAAAATAACAATAGTGAAAAATGCTAATACAAATTGTATACGATTTGACACAAAGGTTTGATGGGCGAGTTTGAGCTATTTTCTGTTGTAGAAGCAGCCCGTCCTCCAAACAAAGATCCAAAAGTGATTCCATGCACCCGCCAAACCCCCTGTTTATGAATGAAAAACGGTTTACACACGCAACCCGTCCTCGACTCAAGTCCATTACATCCAGCGGTCGACCCCACAGACGCATTCATAAATTTTAACATGCTGTTCATTCAAAACGGGAATTTTCTCAAGTATAAATTAATATTATAATATATTAGCATATTGTGCATATATAGGCATAGGTTAGGTGTTTAGGTTCTGTTGGCGATTATTTGTATTTGTAGTACGTGGGTGAAGCATTTATAGCGTTGTGATTCGAACGAAATTCGTCAGTGAAGCACTTGTTCCGGAAGTGTTCGGACGTCATCAGTTGTGAGTCGTGTGTAAACCGCTTTTCATTCATAAACAGGGGGTTTGGCGGGTGCATGGAATCACTTTTGCATCTTTGTTTGGAGGACGGGCTGAAGCAGTTATAGAAGTGTGGTTCGAACAGAGGACGTGAGCGAAGCACTTATTCCGGAAGTGTTTCGGACGTCATCAGAGGTGTGAGTCGTGTGTAAACCTCTTTTCATTCATAAACATTTGGGGTTTGGCGGCTGGATTAACGATTATCTGAACTAGTACAATAAAAACAAAGGGGAAAAAAGAGAAACTAGTGGCAATAGTCGAGACGGACTAATCCAGTACAGCTGGATTATCTCTGTATGCGAGGACGCGCTGCTGTATGGCGTGTTCAGGCGAGGAGGGAGGGAGGTTATCTTGAGGTTATCTTGAGATGATTTCGGGGTTTTAGTGTCCCCGCGGCCCGGTCCTCGACCAGGCCTCCAACCCCAGGAAGCAGCCCGTGACAGCTGACTAACACCCAGGTACCAATTTTACTGCTAGGTAACAGGGGCATAGGGTGAAAGAAACTCTGCCCATTGTTTCTCGCCGGCGCCTGGGATCGAACCCAGGACCACAGGATCACAAGTCCAGTGTGCTGTCCGCTCGGCCGACCGGCTCCCGGACTTGCTTAACTCTGTTGCTGTAGCATAACTCAATGCCATTAGTCCAACCATATGCAGGCGAGGAGTCACAATACCGTGGCTGAAGTATGTTGACCAATCCACACGCTAGAAAATGAAGGGACGACGACGTTCCGGTCCGTCCTGGACCATTCTCAAGTCGATTGTGATCCATATGATCCAGTAGCCTTGAACAACCTCTTGGTACCAGAAGACACATGTTCCTCGTAGCACTATAAACAACTCTTAACAACTTGTAGTGATTCCAAGGAGTCTCATTGCATGCTTTCCCTTCAAGGAACGCCCTGACGGCTCTCTGTACACTAACTGGCAACTTTGACCCGTCTCCACTATTGCCACTAGTTTATCTTTTTTTCCCTTGTTTTTATCGTACTAGTTCAATCTAAGGCAAGCGTTGGTTAGAGAGGAATGACATTCTACACACCAATTACCAACAGCTGGTAAATTGGGATAACATTCATGAAAATTCGTATTCTCTATGAGAAATATTGAATGACATTCTACACACGAATTACCAACAGCTGGTAAATTGGGATAACATTCATGAAAATTCGTATTCTCTATGAGAAATATTGAATGACATTCTACACACGAATTTCCATCAGCAGGTAAATTGGGATAACATTCATGAAAACTCGTATTCTCTATGAGAAATATTGAATGACATTCTACACACGAATTACCAACAGCAGGAAATTGGGATAACATTCGTGAAAACTCGTATTATCTATGAGAAATATTGAATGACATTCTACACACGAATTTCCATCAGCAGGTAAATTGGGATAACATTCATGAAAACTCGTATTCTCTATGAGAAATAATTTTGTATACAATTTTTGCCCAGGCTCATAAAAACTTGTAATGCCTCGGGGGTTTACCAATTTTTTTTCTTCCCTCACGCCAATTACAGCAGAAAAAACTTGCCGTTAAACATTTTAAACAGACATATATTCTGTTGCTTTCTTTTTTATTCAGGAAGCTGAAGTAGAGAATTTATCCAGTTAGGAAATATACCCGACCCAACCACGGTCTAAAGCCTAGCTAGAGCAAAACTAATTCAAAACTTTTACAAACTCATTAATATTTCAACTTAGATTCAACAGAGCAGAAGAAGTTGTTAAACATATATGGCAAAATCTTACTGAAGCGACCATACGAGTCGACTATACGATCATATTTCGGGCTTATCTATGACCATACGAGTCATAAATACTCATACTCCGCCCAAGTAAAACAGAAACAAGCAACACTTAGTGGGCCAGCCAGAGGCTTAGGGCCCGCGCAGGAATATCCTTGCAAAAAAAAAAAAAAAACTACCTTTGACCTAACCGCAAACGTAGCTTTACTAAGAGAAAGCAACCCTTCAATTATTGAGGCAGTGGGCAGCAACTGCGTGCCAGCCATCGAACAAGTCCAGAGCAGACAACTTCTGGCTCATGTCTGGGGAGGTTAGTTCGTATTAGGTCACCTCGGGTTAGGCAGGTGAACTATCAGGAGAAGCGCCAAGCCATCACGACTATATAGCCCTGGGAAGGGGGTCAGAATAAGGATTTGGGATGGGGAGGGAATGGTGCCCCAACCACTTGGAAAGTCGGGGATTGAACGCCGACCTGCATGAAGCGAGACCGTCGCTCTACCGTCCAGCCCAAGACGAGGTAGAGCGACCTTAAACTAAGCAAGTTTAAGATTGGAAAGTTTAAATTATATGGTGTAAGATTACACCGTGGGGCACAAACTTAAGATTACGAAGCGTATAATTAGCTCATGCTCAACAAGCTTAGATTGGGCAGCGTAAGTTTAGACTATGCTGTGCAATGTTTGATTACGCAGCGTAAGTTTAGATTTATACAGTTAACATGGGACACTGCTGTGTTCAGTCGTATTATAGTTAACATGGGACAGGTCCAGAGACCAGTGGGTGGGAGAGGTGGGTTGGGAAGGACGGTGAGTAACATGGGAGAGGTGCCTGCACGGTGGGTGGAAGTCAATACTCTGGGAGGGGGCTCCAGGTGATAGTGAGTAAGCTGGGAGATTCTCCAAGTGAAAGTGAGTACGCTGAGTCTCCAGGTGATAGTGACTAAGGAGAGGGGGGGGGCCGTTGGTGACAGTGAGGTACTCCAGGTGACAGTGAGTATGTTGTTTTAGATTCAGCCACTCAGAACTAAAAGTTGCAAGTAGCACGGGCTATGGCGAGCCCCTAGTGGACTTACCTGGCACAGGAGCGGGGGCTGTAACTGTCAGTATGATAGGAGTTGTTGTTGTTGTTAAAGATTTAACTACTCAGGACGAAGTGTCCATGTAGCACGGGCTATGGTGAGCCCGTAACTGATGGTAGGGCCAGCAGGTGATATAGGGAGTAAGCTGTAGTGGGCTCCAGGGGACAGTAAGGTGGGAGGGGCGGGAAATAGGTGTTACGTAAGTGAGGGGGAGAAGCATGGGAGGGGGGGAGATGGGAGGAGACGGAGGGGGGGGGGCGCGGAGAAAGCTACATGGGGCGTGTCCCCCCCCCCCCCCCCCGCCAACCCCCTGTCACTCGGATCCTGTTCAGGGACATCCCCCCCTTCAATCTGCCGGAGATATTATGTCAACTCTACCTCTCACAGCTACTACAACCCGCCCTCTACAACATTTGATTAACATGGGTGACAGCCTAGTCTATATCCTACATCCAAATCTACATCTGAAATCCTAGTCAATCCTATATACTGTACATCCGGGAGATCAGGAAACATTCCACCATCACGCAGTGTTCAGGGTACAGTGCTCTTACTAGTACAGAAAAAACTCACATATTTCCTATTAAAAACGACTATTGCATCTACCACTATTTAATACCAGTATGCACAATATTCTATGCACAGTTTTTAGCTAGATATTTCAGGCTTGAATGTGTACAAAAAAAATATGCAAAGTTGTCTTCCTAGTTACACACTTTCTCTTCCTGTTTACTCCAAAAAGTCAAAATATATAATGTTTTAATGTTGATGAGTTCTGATGATACCCTCCCCCTCCCCCACACACTCACTTTTCACACACGGGTGAGTGTGTACATCCGGGTGAATGTGTCAGCAGGATCAGGCTTCCCGTGTGCCTTGCCGAGTGATATAACCGAGTTCCCCCTCTAAATTAGGCCTTGTAATTTCTGTCTAAACTCCCTTTAGGTTTGAGTAAAATTTGTTCTATATAAAATATGTATATAATAATATATTCTTCGAGATAGTAAAATATTATATATATATATATATATATATATATATATATATATATATATACTGTATATATATATATATATATATATATATATATATATATATATATATATATATATATATTTATATTTATATATTACTGGTCAGTGGGAGACTGGTACGGGAGTAAAGAAAACGGAGCCGATGCTAGCCAGATAACTTTCACCTACAAGAGAAGGTTAGGGGACAAATTCTTAACCTTCAAGCAACGCTTACAAGCACACCTTTCCACCATAGAAAGCTAACAGACGAGCCACACCACCGAAAACATAGCCGATACACCAACAAAAAAACGTGTTCTCCAACAATTAAACACATACAGGTGTCATCAGAATAGGAATTATCAAATGGTAAATGGAGTATAAATGTTTCCCAAGTGAAGGCGTTGAATTCAGGCGTGGCTCCGAGAGCGGGTTTTCCCCTCTGGTTTTTGTTCGCTCTCGCTGGCTGGCGGTCCGCTGGCCAGAAGTAGGGCGACTGGCCCTTTCTATCACCTGGGCCGGAAACGCCTTAACTACCATTGTGGAGTAAAGCATTTTTAAAGCATTAAGTCATGCGCTGAGATCAATAAGACAACTAAGATGTACACAAATTGTGGATTAGATTTCAAGGTGTAATTAATCCCTATCGCTTGTCAGAACATCATTAATTCAATAGTAATTCGGTTTCTATCCTTTCAGTACTATGCGGCTAAACGCCCGCGCACAGTTAATTATAAAAATTTATATAAAATATAAATTTACTAAATATATATTCAGTATTTCTACAACAAGAAATACACAGTTCGTGTTTAGTTTCTCGGTATTATATATATATATATATATATATATATATATATATATATATATATATATATATATATATATATATATATATATATATATATATATATATATATATATATATATATATATATATATACACTGAGTGTATACTGTAGTCTAAGAGGTATATTCAGGTATACTTGCTGCCTGGTAAGTTGGGACCCATCATGGAGAGAAAGTGGAATTAATTAAACCATAACTATACACACACACTGAATGACATTATATACAGGGTGTGGGTGTCGGTGGGGGGTCGACTCTTATACAAGACCCTCCCCTCCCCTCCTTCCCCCTTACATAAAATCACTGGAACCTAAAGATAACGTCTCAGAAGAAAGTAATTTGGAAAGCAAAATGTGTCATCACGAGAGACTAGGTCAGTGATAATATGCCCAACCTTCTTCTGCGCATGATAATACGGCAGAGCTGTGTGTGTGTGTGTGGGGGGGGGGCGCTGGACCCCTCCCACACGCCACACATATGTAACCAGGTTTCCATCCTGTAAAGGGAGGGGGGGGGGGAGGGAGGTGATGGTGTACAAAAACCCACATGACAAGATACGACACCGTGTTAACAGGGGTAAACCACTTTCTTTTTGAGGTATTCAGTAATAAATGCATATATATATATATATATATATATATATATATATATATATATATATATAGAGAGAGAGAGAGAGAGAGAGAGAGAGAGAGAGAGAGAGAGAGAGAGAGAGAGAGAGAGAGAGAGAGAGAGAGAGAGAGAGAGAGAGAGAGATACCAGCTCTGATGCAATTGTAGGGACCCATAGCCTCGGAGAAGAGAAAGAAGGGTATTAAGAGACGACCTTGCGGATTCTCCCTGAACACTTTTTAAGTATTTTCGTCTCCTATCACCCTTGCTTTGTTATTATTTTACACAATGTAATTTATGTGTTATTATTATTAGTTACACCCTTAAGGAAGACACCTTATGGTACTGTTTTATTTACTTTGTATTTACATAACTTATGTGAAAACGAACTGAACAAATATTGTTTCAAACATTTCGAAAGAGATATGTTTGTGAACTATATTTGTGAAACTCGTACAATCACTGTATCCTGGAGACAACTTTGGCAAGTTAGACTTTCCAAAGAACAAATATACAAATAAAAAAATACCCGTCTCATGAAGGCGTCATATATACAGCTCTAACATAGACTAGTTACTCAGCCCCTTCCTCCTAAGGTGCCCCAACGTCAAGAAACTGTCGTACTAAAAGTGCCCCCTTATCCTAACCTACCAGAGGACCCAAAACAGAAAACGGGACAGGTATGTCAATTTCGCGAGCCTCCACTATTTTCTAGTACGACGATTTTTTTTTATATTAGGAGGACGGGTCCTCCATTGATATTATAAATGGAAATGATGCAAATATGGGCTGTTGAACCCCACAAAAAACATTCAATTTGTAATACTGGTACTGCAATGTTAAGGTGGGTGAAATTTGTTATACTGGTACTGCAATGTTAAGGAGGGTGAAATAAAGAATGTACCAACTATGTAAACACTGCTAGGCCTAACATATGCAATTTTAGGCAGAATTTAGTTCTTATATGTACTGTGCTAGGCCTAACATATGCAATTTTAGGCAGAATTTAGTTCTGATATGTACTATGCTAGGCCTAACATATGCAATTTTAGGCAGAATTTAGTTCTGATATGTACTGTGCTAGGCCTAACATATGCAATTTTAGGCAGAATTTAGTACTTATATGTACTGTGCTAGGCCTAACATATGCAATTTTAGGCAGAATTTATTCTTATATGTACTGTGCTAGGCCTAATCAGAGTTCAGGCCTAATCCCTACTTGGGATTTATACGAAATTAATAGTAATAATGTAATTTTTTTTGGCAGTGCAAAAGTTTATATGTAGTCCATCGGTAGCAGCCATACGTGTTATCTTGTTTCCAGGTAACGTTATGGTACGTTATCTTGAGTTACGTTATGATAACCAACGTACAAAATACAGTGTGCTATGTATGGAAAGTAGAGGCCCACAAAAATCCACGTGTTCTATGCGTTGGTTGTTTAGGCTAGCTGGGTAGCTTGGGTGCATGCGTTGCTGGTTAGATTAGTTTAGGACGTTGCATTCTGAACGTTGTGGCAATTCGAGAGAACGTGTTGTAGATGTTGCAAAAGAATGACTTCCTCTCTCGAGAAGAGAGGAAGTAGTTTACCAACACACTAAACCCCTATCTTGAGGTTATCTTGAGATGATTTCGGGGCTTTAGTGTCCCCGCGGCCCGGTCCTCGACCAGGCCTCCACCCCCAGGAAGCAGCCCGTGACAGCTGACTAACACCCAGGTACCTATTTTACTGCTAGGTAACAGGGGCATAGGGTGAAAGAAACTCTGCCCAGTGTTTCTCGCCGGCGCCCGGGATCGAACCCGGAACCCGGAACCTAAATTATATCACTTCCATTATATTTGACTTGTTTTTCACCTTCAATTAGTTTTTGTTATAATTGAAAATGAGAGGCTATATATACCATATGGTTACCTTGAGGTTACCTTGAGGTGCTTCCGGGGCTTAGCGTCCCCGCGGCCCGGTCCCCGCGCCCGGGGACACTAAAGCCCCGAAATCATCTCAAGATAACCTCAAGATACATACGTAAATACATAGACACGCAGATTTGTGAATGCATTAATGAGAATTATAAGTGCTTGGTGGAGGGTGTGGCCTCGGAGGGTGTGGCCTCGGAGGGTGTGGCCTCGGAGGGTGTGGCCTCGGAGGGTGTGGCCTCGGAGGGTGTGGCCTCGGAGGGTGTGGCCTCGGAGGGTGTGGCCTCGGAGGGTGTGGCCTCGGAGGGTGTGGCCTCGGAGGGTGTGGCCTCGGAGGGTGTGGCCTCGGAGGGTGTGGCCTCGGAGGGTGTGGCCTCGGAGGGTGTGGCCTCGGAGGGTGTGGCCTCGGAGGGTGTGGCCTCGGAGGGTGTGGCCTCGGAGGGTGTGGCCTCGGAGGGTGTGGCCTCGGAGGGTGTGGCCTCGGAGGGTGTGGCCTCGGAGGGTGTGGCCTCGGAGGGAGAAACCTCAACAAGTTGATTTTTTGTTTACTGGAATTATTACTTAAAGGCTTCACTTTACTGAAGCCTCACGCTGGTTGAGTTGATTATTTACTTATTATCTCCCGCTTGCAGATTTGTTATTTGTTCTCTTTATTAAATAATATACAATACATTGATAGTTGGTATGACATGGCTCCTTACTGCATTATAGTTGGTATGACATGGCTCCTTACTGCATTATAGTTGGTATGACATGGCTCCTTACTGCATTATAGTTGGTATGACATGGCTCCTTACTGCATTATAGTTGGTATGACATGGCTCCTTACTGCATTATAGTTGGTATGACATGGCTCCTTACTGCATTATAGTTGGTATGACATGGCTCCTTACTGCATTATAGGTGGTATGACATGGCTCCTTACTGCATTATAGTTGGTATGACATGGCTCCTTACTGCATTATAGTTGGTATGACATGGCTCCTTACTGCATTATAGGTGGTATGACATGGCTCCTTACTGCATTATAGTTGGTATGACATGGCTCCTTACTGCATTATAGGTGGTATGACATGGCTCCTTACTGCATTATAGTTGGTATGACATGGCTCCTTACTGCATTATAGTTGGTATGACATGGCTCCTTACTGCATTATAGTTGGTATGACATGGCTCCTTACTGCATTATAGTTGGTATGACATGGCTCCTTACTGCATTATAGTTGGTATGACATGGCTCCTTACTGCATTATAGTTGGTATGACATGGCTCCTTACTGCATTATAGTTGGTATGACATGGCTCCTTACTGCATTATAGTTGGTATGACATGGCTCCTTACTGCATTATAGTTGGTATGACATGGCTCCTTACTGCATTATAGTTGGTATGACATGGCTCCTTACTGCATTATAGTTGGTATGACATGGCTCCTTACTGCATTATAGTTGGTATGACATGGCTCCTTACTGCATTATAGTTGGTATGACATGGCTCCTTACTGCATTATTCCCCCCCCCCTTCTGTTGCTTTAGCATTATTGCTTAAATTTACGCGTTCGTTGAACAAATCCACAAGGGCCGTGACGAGGATTCGAACCTACGTCCGGGAGCATCCCAGACGCTGTTACGCGTTCGTTCTTTAACTTAAGTCACCAATGGCCATCGCCCCCCCCCCCGACACCCAAGACCACCACACAACCTACCAACGAGTACACTTGAGTCACCAACACAGGTCTCAAGTTAAGTAGATGTTAAGTAAGATGTTCAACGTCCTCCCAGCGAGCATAAGAAATATTGCCGGAACAACCGTGGACATCTTCAAGAGGAAACTAGAAAATTTCCTCCAAGGAGTGCCGGACCAACCGGGTTGTGGTGGGTATGTGGGCCTGCGGGCCGCTCCAAGCAACAGCCTGGTGGACCAAACTCTCACAAGTCAAGCCTGGCTACTGTATGCAACAGCCTAGTGGACCAAACTGTCTTGGGGAGTAGAAGAACTCCCAGAACCCCATCAACCAGGTATCAACCAGGTATGAAGTAGTCAGTGGATATACACCAAAAACTAGGGCCACATCTAATGTATAATTCCACTGTACGAGTTTGTATTTTCTTATTTTATTTTGATGAAGTGAATACCCAGAGAGTAATAAATATGGGAGAAGAAAAAAGATTAAGATGTAGTGAGAAAATAAATGAGAAACAACAGCAGGTGAAGATACAACGACGAAAAGGAAGAGGCACAAGAAAATTAAAAAGGTAAACGAGAAGAAAGGAAACGATAATAAAAGATGAATGAAAACCCGAAGCAGGGAGAGAGAGAGAGAGAGAGAGAGAGAGAGAGAGAGAGAGAGAGAGAGAGAGAGAGAGAGAGAGGGAGAGAGAGAGAGAGAGAGAGAATATCATAGAAAAATCACAAAAAACCACACTTTCTAGCCGGCTTTCGAAGAAGCAGTAATGACTGATAATATTGGAAAGTTTACATTCAGCGAACTGGTTCATTTAAACGCCTCTCTTAATTACAACTCAACAAGGAATAAAGCAAAATATATATACACCGGGAGCTATACCCTACTCTTGATGTTTCCAATGTTTATATTCTGTACCCCCCACCATACACATCCTGTGAGCCATAGCGCAAAAACGACTCCATAGAAAACAAAACGTCCTTAATCAGATCTCACTGGAGATGTTTACATTTAACATGTCACCTAATCTACACATTTTATAATTATAATGGCAACTAGCAACACATTGTTTACACGGTAATAACTGTGAATTTACAGTGCCTATATCTATAAAGAGACATTGGCTGTCTAAAGTGGATATCAGACAGGGCGGACAAGCCTCATCCAACTTTTCAAGATGACAATGGCTGCTATGGGGAGTGTCATAGGCTAGTCGGGTCGGCCCTAGTGCCACCCCCTCCCTCTCCCCAATCCACTTTTTAAGCAATATTGGCTCCTATTATTTCATTAAGTTTAAAATCAGGGATATGATTTCTGTAAAACTTTGTTCAGGAGTTTTTCATTTGTTCTAATGTTACATTTTCAGAGAGAGAAGGGAGGGAGGGTATGGAGGGGGGGGGTGGAGGGAGAGGAGATGGGAAAATAGGGCAAGAGGTGAGAGAGGGAGTAAATTGAGAAAGATGGGAGGGAGAGGGGTGAGAGGTGAGAAAGGTGGAGAGGGTGGGGAGAGAGGGAAGATGACAATGATGATGAAGAAGACACGAGGGAATTACGGGCTCGCCATAGCCCGTGCTACATGGACACCTCGTTCTGAGTAGCTAAATCTGAAACAACAACAACAACACGAGGGAAGAAAGGGAGACAGAGGAGGGGCAAGAGATCTTTATCTTGAGGTTATCTTGAGATGATTTCGGGGCTTTAGTGTCCCCGCGGCCCGGTCCTCGACCAGGCCTCCACCCCCAGGAAGCAGCCCGTGACAGCTGACTAACACCCAGGTACCTATTTTACTGCTAGGTAACAAGGGCATTGGGTGAAAGAAACTCTGCCTATCGTTTCTCGCCGGCGCCTGGGATTGAACCCAGGACCACAGCATCACAAGTCCAGCGTGCTGTCCGCTCGGCCGACCGACTGGGCACAGACGGGATACCCATTTACCAAGTGTTGGAAGTAAACCTTCTGTTAACATACAACACAATTTGTCTTTATATTACAAGATAATAGGAGTGATTTTTAGTCTACACTCTACATAGTTTACACAGTGACCATACACATGCTTATATCTCCCTGAAGTAAACTACGGATATCGAGCAAGAATGTCAGATATATTATCATTTCTAATAAGGTCGATTTGCCATTTCAAGCAGCGTGTGTCTAAATTGATCTCTAAAGGGCTCAATTTGGGCTCAATTTGGGCACAATCTAAACAAAATGTAATGCTCAAGTGAGTGCTCCTTGTCTTAAGCCACACACTTGGGATTAAGTGTGTGATTAAGTGTGTGATTATGTGTAGATTAACTTAATCTACAGCATCACCATACAAGCTGAACTGCCACAGATACTTGTAAGTAACTATGGGCCACCTGGCTGGCCCATGGTTCGATTCTCTCCTATTGGGAGAGAATCGAACCAGGCTACCAGGCTACCAGGCTACCGACCAGGCTACGAACACCCACAATTAGAGAGGGTCCCGGACACACACACACACACACACACACACACACACACACACACACACACACACACACACACACACACACACACACACACACACACACACACACACACACCACTGGTATTCCAACTGGGGCCTTTCAACCTCTCCTGAGGGCATCACTTGAGTCCGGAGGCATTAGGCGACCCCCCATCACCCTAATTGCAAGCTGCAATAAAGGTCAAAATAACTAGATTCACACGATTAGAGTTCACCTTAGCTAGGTGAACGATTACGTTCAGTTCCTGAGCCAATTATATGCCTCTGTAACCCTCTACACCATCCATAAATGCAAGGAAAACACTCTACAAATTTTTCTTACGGGTTATTCATGCCCGTGCCGCCTCTTGGCTGGCTTAATCGTCATCAATCATCAATCTACAAATATTCAGCGCACATGCTCAGTAATTTTTTCGGGCTCACCATAGCCCGTGCTACTTGCCCCGCTCCTGTGCCAGGTAAGTTACGGGCTCGCCATAGCCCGTGCTACTTGCCCCGCTCCTGTGCCAGGTAAGCTACGGGCTCGCCATAGCCCGTGCTACTTGCCCCGCTCCTGTGCCAGGTAAGTTACGGGCTCGCCATAGCCCGTGCTACTTGCCCCGCTCCTGTGCCAGGTAAGTTACGGGCTCGCCATAGCCCGTGCTACTTGCCCCGCTCCTGTGCCAGGTAAGTTACGGGCTCGCCATAGCCCGTGCTACTTGCCCCGCTCCTGTGCCAGGTAAGTTACGGGCTCGCCATAGCCCGTGCTACTTGCCCCGCTCCTGTGCCAGGTAAGTTACGGGCTCGCCATAGCCCGTGCTACTTGGAACTTGTTCCGAGTAGCTGAATCTGTAACAACAACAGCTCAGTAATCACAAGCACTGGATAGTGTGCTGCACAGTGGTACTGTGCAGTAACTGACACTGGAAGTGGTTAAGGCCGCTGGCGACATGACCTGCACACGACACAGGGAAAAAGTTATAACATACGCACGTTTTTGGCTTTGACCTTTAATGAAGGAAATGACCACAGGAAACATAGCAATTCTCACGTGAGAATTGGAAAGCTAATGATGAGGTTCTGCACACACGTATCACTACACTAGTTGGTGTACAGTATAGTGACGACCCTCCCACTTAATTCTGACGAACCCCCATCTATTCTGACGACCCCCCACTTACTCTGACGACCCCCCCCCACCTACCCTGACGACCCCCCACTTACTCTGACGACCCCCCCCCCCACCTACCCTGACGACCCCCCACTTACTCTAACGACCCCCCCCCCACCTACTCTGACGACCCCCCACTTACTCTGACGACCCCCCCCCACCTACTCTGACGACCCCCCACTTACTCTGACGACCCCCCCCCCACCTATTCTA